AGAATTTCTTCTTAATTACTCTGTCATAATGCCCAAAGCCTGGCACATAAGGGGCTCTCAACAATTTCTTCACTGAATTAATGATTGAGCCACTCCCTATGCGAGTGATGCGAGTGTGCACATAGGCACACACACTCACACATGCTCCTCATGCTCCAGCATCTGCAGGTGGGAGAACCCCATCTCCCGTAGATCGTCTTTGTGCATACTGACCTGCAAACAGAGCCATCTGGAAGAAGGCAGGTTAGAAGTGAGTGAGGGACAGGATGAGCTGTCCTTCTAAAGAGCCATGCTAAGGTTCTTGCCTCTCTAAGGTTCTTGCTTCTCTGCAGTCTGAGATGGGTAGGCTCTCGATTCAGCTGTTACCAAAATGTGGGCATTTGTGCCCTCTCTGAGATATGTGTCGTAAGTTGCCAAACCATGTCATAGAAAATTAAGGAAAAGTGTGTTTTTGAAAATAAGTTAGTGTGATTTTATTGACTCCCAAAGAAACTCGTGAATGTTTTATATTATTTCAGAGACTAGCAACATTTCTCTTCATCATTTCTAGTCAAGGGTTTCCAAGAGGCTGCTGATTTTTCTGAAGCTCCTTCCTTTTTGGGGCACCTGGGTGGCTCAGTGGGTTAAGCCTCTGCCTTTGGCTCAGGTCAAGATCTCAGGGTCCTGGGATTGAGCCCCGCATCAGGCTCTCTGCTCAGCGGGAAGCCTGATGCAGGAAGCCTGCTTTCCCCTCTCTCTCTCTGTCTGCCCCTCTGCCTACTTGTGATCCCTCTCTCTCTGTCAAATTAAGAAAAAAAAAAAAACCTTTCTTTTTTTTTCTTTCTTTCTTTTTTTTCTTCTTCTTCTTCTTTTTTTTTTTTTTTTGGATAAGCTGGGGGTTTCAATGTTTCAGGTTCTTTGCAGGACTGTCTTCTTGGGAGGTCAAGCACAGTGAGGGGTCTTTCACTCAGATGAAGGATGGGTTGATGGGGCTGGTCACTTGCAGGTCAGCTCTGAAGCCCCATTCACACTCAACTAATCACCAGTGGCTGGCGTTGAGAATCAGAAAGCAATGCAGCTGTCCCGTCCTGATGTGAAGCTGGCTTAGAACCAGGGAACTGTCCGAACTCAGGATGATTCAGTGATCCTGAGAGCTTCAGGGGTAAGTTTCAAATTGGCCCATCACTGACATGTGGGTGAGTTGGAAGTTTAGAATTAGACAAAAGAAGGAGAAAGAAGGGTTATCAATGTTGAGATTTTAAGTGGTGGGCTGTCCATAGTGGATCAAATAAAACAATTTTTTTGTTTGTTTGTTTTTAAACCTGGGTAGTTTGTTCTTTCCAAAGCAGTTTGCCATTCTCTGAACCAGTGACTTCTTTAGCTACCAAGGCTTGCCAAACATTGATTTAAAATGACTTCTTTCATGTTAACAGCATACATATGGAAGGAGTAACTTTATAAGGCATTTTTATAATTTGAGATGATCTTATTTAAGGAGGAATCTTGCAATTACCTCTTTTGCCCCAGGAAAAAATAGCTCTCCCCCCGCCTTGTCTGGTTATGAAGATAAGTTGTTTTGCTTTAAATAAGGAAAATGAGGGTTAATAGGAAAGATATAAAGGAAGATACAAAATGTTCCTGGAAAGAGCAAATAACATTATTAAAGGATGAGGAGGCAGGAAAAGAAATTGGAAATAGACTAAAAGATTCACTCATCTTTCATCAAGAAAGATGACAAATTAGCAGTCTTTAGTTATAAACGTCAGAAAGGGTGAAAGTGAATGCTCATATGTTTACCAAATCCTAGAGGATTAGGAAGAGGTTCCAAAAAAAAAAAAAAAAAGGTCACCGTTTTTCATATGAGCACATAGTTGAGGGTCTAAGAACCCCAAAAATGACCTGGGCAACAAATATAATTTAAACAGGAGAGCAAAGATAGCAGATCAAAGATGGCAAATACTTAGCATGTCTATACTATTTCTATTCTGCACCCATGACAGATATTATGAATTGATTAGGCTGCTCTTTCTAAGTAAATTAGATAGATGCACAGTGTGACAGAAAGTCAATTAACTACAGATGACCCTTGAGATGAAACCCTTTGTTATCTATGGTTTAGCCTCACTACTCAAAGTGTGATCTCCAGACCACCAGCATGGGCATCATGTGAGCGCTTATCCTGAAAGCAGAATCTCAGCCTTCTTCCAGACCTGTTGAACCAAAACTGTATTTTAGCAAGATCGCCAGTAATTCCTAGATTCAAAAAAGTTTAGGGCGCCCTGGAAGAGCACTGAGTGTAGGATATATTCCTTAGGGTAGAAGCCCTGAAGCTTCATGCATCACCATCACTGACTTAAGGGCTTGTTGAACCTAGATTGCGGGACCCCACCTCCAGAGGTTTTGGATGAATTGGTCTGGGTGGGATTTCCAAACAAGTGTCCTGCTTCTGCTGCTGCTACTGGTCTGGGAACCATACTTTGGGGTATCTCTCTGAACTTTAAAGTTGAAGACTGCAAGTATCTTCCCATAACTCTCTGTACATCTGAATGAACCAGAGTTCTGGGTAAGAGAATCCTAAGGTTTAATCTAGTATAACATTTCTTATGACACTATGTACTTGAGTCTAAAAGGCTCTCCTCCTGGAGGATTGGTGCTATCCTCATTCACTCATGTATGCAGTAACGATCTGGGTAGCCGTTCTGTCCACAGCATTATATTTGATGCCAAGAGACTCACATGAAGGTTAAAAACCGCAGCTCCTAATGGGGCTTACTTTCTGCAAAGAGAATAAACATGAAATGCTAAATAACATGGTGACATTAGATGGCAAAGGGCTGAGTACTAAGTAAGTGGCACAGACCACATATGATTTAATTTCAGAGAGAGGGAGAATACCTGGGTAGCTATTTCAACCTAGCTAGAATCGCTGTTTAGAGTGGGTGGAAGATAAGGTGGCCCAGGGAGCAGGCCAGGGTAAGAAGGCACCTTCTCATTTGTTAATGCTGCTTTCAGAGGTTGTTTTAAAACTTTCAGTTTTCCTTTGGTCTGGGTAATGATAAATCAATGCTTTCAGTATTGTAAATTGCGCTACAGGGTGGTCATACAGGGAAAACCTGTTATCTTAGAGACGAAGAAAAAAGACAAACAGATTGTAAGCAGAGATGACTGGGATGGTGGAAAGCAGTAATTTAGGAAAAGGGATAATAATGCCTAACTTCTATTGACCCCTTACATTGACAGGTACTTATGCTTAACTGACATGTGGTATCTCATTTAATCCAAACAACCTCGCATGATATAAATGTAGTCAAACCTCCTCCTTTACTCCAAGTGAAACCCAAAGCTTTGTAAGGGTGCATATCTGATGAAAGAACTCGCCAAGTTTAAATCCAGGCAATGCTCGGGGGTGGGGATGCTAGTCCACGAACTGAGAGGGTTTGGGCCTGTCTGGATCCTGCTTTCCAATCCTCATATACTCTACGTCAGGGAGGAACCCAAAGAGCAACTGAGAAGACAGAAATCCTCAGACGCGTTCAAGTCGAGGAACCTGTGGGGCCAGTGCGTCCAAGGCGCGGACAGGGAGGGGCTCCTACAAGAAACGAAGCAAGGGTTAGCCTGAGACAGCCGGGGTCATGGAGCCTCTCCTGGCTTCCTCCGGCCACCCTAATGACAGAGTCTGTGGTAGGTTGAGAGCGGGAGCAGACTCGGGGTGGGAGTCTTCCCTGGGTCCTGTATTTGCCTATAAATACTTCAAACAGTTAAATTAAAAGAGCAGCCTTTGAAAGCTGGAGAGGAAGCTCTTGGGAGGCCCCCGGCCCGCCTGGAAGTGCAGGCAGAAAAGAGGAGAAATGGCTGACGAGTCCTTAGCGTGGGAGACGAGGAACAGCCCTGCCCAGTCCAGACAGGCGGCCGCCGCGCGGCGGGCGCGATTCCGGAAGATTCAAACCGTTAAGGTGACCAGAACAATTTGAAAAAAGGAAACAAACTTCCCCCCGAGTCTTGCCCGCGGGGCCCCGAGGCGGGCCTTTGCATTCGAAAGGGCATTTTTCAAAAGAAGGTTTCAGGGACGCGGGAGTATCGGCCCGCTGGGAAGCGCGCAGCAGGAGCAGTGCCGCAGAGCGGCCACCAGCCTGCTTTGTACTTGGCGGCCCGCGCGGCCCCAGAGTTTCAACCGAGGCCCGGGAGTTGAGGCCACGCCCCCTTTGCAGAGAAGACTGCAGGCGCTGATTGGCCCTTCACCGGCCAATGGGCGCGCCGGGGCGGCCCGGGCTGTCAGCGCGCGCCGCAACCGCACCGGCCGCAGCCTGTCCTCCCCTGCTCGGAGCCCCGCAGCCAGCGCAGCCTTCCCGGGAAACCGGGCCGCCGCTCGCGAGCGCAGCCCTGCCCAGCCGGCCAGCCGCGCGTCCGGGTGCCCGAGCCCCACTGCCACAGCCTTGCTGCGCTTTAGCTTACGGAGCATGTGCAGACCTGCTGGCGCTAAGCTGCTATCTGTCCGGGGGACTTCTACCCAGCGGTGACTGTCACGCCTAGAGAGACCTTTCGGGGGCTGTCGCCGCGCCTCTGCGTCGCGGGTGACACTGCGGTGCTCGAGATCGGGGCAGCAGCTGCCTCTTGGTGGAGGCATCTTGGGCTCCGTGCGTCCTCCCTCTCCTTCCTCCTCGGCTCCCTCCTTCCCTCCCACCGCTGCTCGCTCCTACCCTCGGCCGCTGACACCCGCAGCCTCCTGGAGCGGGAGGCGCCTGTCCCCGCCGTTCCTCTTCCAAAGGGGCCTTCTCACTTCGGAGATGCAGTGACAAGTTAATATGGGCGTCCAAGCCTCGGCTTCCCAGGAGGAGAATCGCAAGAGGGAACAGCCCCTGAACGCCCAGACCCCTTGAACAGGCGGCCCAGGAGGGGCGTGAAACCCGGCTGCAGCATCTGTCCAGGTGGGACCCGCTGAGCGCCGTGACCAGTCCTCTGCTCCATCCCGCAGGCGCGCTTGCGGGTTTGCTGCTAACTCCCCGACCCGGGGATTTTTTTTTTTTTCCCTCCGCTGGTGGTGGGCGCCTCGCGGGCCGAGGCCCGGCGCCTGCTCTGCTACCCGCGCTGCCTTTAGCGGTTGCCTCCGCCGCCGCTGCCAGGGACGTGCTGGGAAAGCCGAAGCCCCGGGAGAAGATGCCGGCCATCCTGGTCGCCTCCAAAATGAAGTCGGGACTGCCCAAACCCGTGCACAGCGCCGCGCCCATCCTGCACGTGCCCCCAGCCCGGACCGGTCCCCAACCTTGCTACCTCAAGTTGGGAAGCAAGGTGGAGGTGAGCAAGACTGCCTACCCCAGCCAGATCCCCCTGAAATCCCAGGGGCTGCAGGAGCCGGCGGGGGAGGGGCTCCCGCTGCGGAAGAGCGGCTCGGTGGAAAACGGGTTCGATACCCAGGTGAGAGGTGCTGTGAGTCGGGGCGCTGTTGTGGGGGGCGAGGTGAATACTTCTTGGGAGTAAGGTGGCTTGGCTGGACGGGGGAAAGGACTGCCCGGTGGGCGGAGAAGGGAGCCATTCCACTTAGGCTGGCAGATCTGGGGATGCGCGCGGGGGAGTGGGCTGGCCGGTGGGTGTGGCCGGGTGCCGGTGGTTTGCCTTAAGGAGCTCTGAGACACCGGGGTGTGGGCACGCCCGCAGCTCCCTTCTGGGGGCACGGGTGGCGTGCTCACACACACAAACCAGCCAAACAAACAAACAAAAAAAGAAAAGAAAATACACAAAAAACAAACAAACAAAAAAAAAAACAAACCAAAAAACCCAAAACGTGCAGCTCTGGAAATGTCAGGTCCTGCATGTTGAGAGCTTGGCCTCAAGAAGGCAGTGTCTGCTGCAACGGCTGGCGGGCTGGCGGTTCTGCAGAGATTCTGTCTGCCAAGGAATGGTCTGAGGCCTCCTTGGGCTCGACGTCCCCAGGCCTGGCAGCAAGACCTAGGCAAAGGGGTCTGGGGGTTGCCATCAACCTGCTCTTTTCGGCTGGACGATGGCCTGCCCCTGCCCGTCCCTTGGGGCAAAAGGATTCCAGGCACGGTGCTGGGACTGCCATGGTATTGCCCGGTGCACCAGCTGAGGCGGGCAGCTGGAGACTCCCAGCGTCCTGGCCGGCGGATGGGGGTGGGGGGTGGCTGCCTCCAAAAGGCTCCCCCGAAGCTAAGCCCCTCCTTTCAGGGTAGTAGATCCTGGCGCTGGTAGCCTGCCTGACCCGGTGTGGGGATGGGGGATGGCTGCGGCTTGAAGAGAATTGGTGACTTTTACCTTTCCCGACAAAGCCTGCATCACCCAGTTCCGGCTGGGTGACAGGCCCTGGTCGGCAGTCTCTTTTAAGGAAATCCACAAGGGCCAATCAGGTTCTCTTGGCCTCCTGCCCTCCCTGCTCCTTCCACCCCCCACCCCCATCTGGTAGGAGGGAGCAGGGGCATGCTCTATTTTCTTGGCAGTCAGTCAGCAGGGACTTTTGGGGACAGGCTGACCTGACGGATGTGACTGTCCCAGTCAGGAGAGGCGGGAAGCCAGAGGGGGAGGTGGTTTGGGGCTGGTGTCAGGGAAGTGGCAACAGACCAGCTGACCTTTTTGGCACTTTCTTCTCTGCTGACACTGTCTCCACCTTCTCCTGGAGCTTTCTCTGATCAGAGGCTAGAACTCAACACATTGCTAGCCTGTCCGATGGAGGAACTGGAGCTGGGAGCTAATCGTAAGCAGGCTTTTGGAACTCTGGGCTGGAGAAGGCCCTCGGAGGAGATTAAGCTCCCACACCAGGCTGATAAGCATGCCCCTCGCTGCCCCACTTGCTAAACATTTTTGGAAGCTGACAGGTTTGAGTGATGGTGTGTGGGAGGAAGGCAAGATTTCCCCCTATGCTCCGGGGGCCTGTCTCTGCTAGGGTTTAGCTCTCTGTTCTCTTTTTCTGTTGTTAGCCACAGGATTGGTCCAGTGGGCTCTGAAATGAGAATGAGCTCAGGGGTACATTCTTGTGAGGTTTTTCCTATCCATCCTTGGAGGTGGGGCTTATGAGGTATGGTGGGTGGTATGTGGGAGGTCAGAGCAGTGACTCTGGGATATGACACACACCCTTCCAGCCTGATGAGGAGGATCTGAGGAATGAGAGGGAAAGTGGACATGGGATTGTTTCTGCCCAGGAAGCTCTTCTGCCTTTGCCCATTCGACCCTATATTTAATAAACATTGTTGGAGGACTTCCACTGGGCAGGTTCTAGAAAGGTGATTCATCACCCTCTTTTCTGAAAAAATGTTTTCCAGCTGTTCCTGGAGGGGCTGGCAGGGTCCTGGTCCCTCATGACTTAGCTTCCCTCTCTTACTGTTGGCCCACCATCCCAAGAATGCCGCCATTGCACCTGCCTTGACCTCAGTGGGACCTTGTGTGCTGATCACGAGGATGGTTTGGACTGACTGCTAAGGACATTGGCTACTTCCTGATGGCCTATCCTACTTTTATCAGCCTCTTCTTTCCTTATCCACGTTTGGGCTTCCTGAGGGCTCTTCTCTGTAGCAGGTGGCGGATCCTTGTGCTCACTGCCCCACCTTGGCATTGAAGTGACCTTGGCAAAGGCGGTTTTCCCTTCTTTGGAAAGGGCTTCCTTTCACTCTGTCTAGCATGGTGCCCATTTGCCATTCAGGAAAGCCTATTACAGGCTTGAGGACTTTGTCTGGTTTGACTTCTCTAGTCCCTAATTCAAAACCTGGTATTGATCACTGGAAGTTGATGAGTTATAGAGCAGATGATATCTTGGGGCCTCTGACTCCCCCTTTTATTCAGGGAGCTTTTGGCAGAAGACTGGGTTGTGCAGTGGTCACTAGCAGAGGTTTTAAAGTCAGGCAGGTATCTGTGGTGTCCTGTCTTTGCCGCGTACCAGCTGGGTGACTTATTTAATGAACCTCTCTGGGCCTCAGTGTTTCCATCTGTAAAAATGGGCATAAACAGCCATACAAATTATAAGGATTCAGAAGAATAACATGTGAAGTGCTTAGCCCGGTGTCTGGCAAATAAGGAATACTTAATATAATTAGCTATTTATATTGCTAAAGCAAGAGATAAGGCATGTTGAACCTGGGTCTAATAAGCTCTAAGTGAGAAAAGGCATAGCTTATCTCTCTAGCCCTTGAAGGGTATTAATCGGAATTTACAGAGCATCTGTCAGTACCTGGCATGCCCTGAAGAAGAGGGAAGGGCACTGCTACTTGTTTAGTGCCTGGCTCTTTACATATAATATTATTTCATCCTCACAGTACCGCTTAAAAACAGACAAGACATATTCTATAACAATAATTTTCTATAATAATAATATAATAATAATGACAAATAATATAATAATGGCAAGTTAAATAACATAATAATGATAAATTAATAATATAACAATTGCAAATCAAATAATATAATCATTTCTTACATGCCAGGAATTGTTCTAAAAGACGAGTACATAAAAAGCCTCATTTGATTCTTCTGACAATCCAATGACATATGTGTTACTATGTTATGTTATTGTAGGCGTATTCTCATTTTGCTCATGAGGAACCTGAGGCAAAACCGGGTCAGTAAGCTTGTGAGTAGCAGAAGTAGAGTTAGAACTTGGACAGTCTGCTTCTGGAATCCATGCCCTTAACCACTCTGCTGTAGAGAGAGAACCACAGAGACTTCCAGCTTACTTGCAGGCCCTGGTAAGACCCCAGTTCTACCCATTGAGCTAGAAGGGTGAGTGAGTCTCGGGAAGATAGAGCAACTTGCCCTAGGTCATCCTGCTTTGGTGTGATGGAACAGAGTCAGGATGAGTTAGCTTCAGGGCTGGTGATCTTCCCAACCTTCATAGTGGCCTCCCTCCATCATTTACCCTGGCAGGTGCACAGGGTAAATAAGACATGGCCTGGGCCTTGCGGATTTTATAGTCTAGTTGGGAGGTATATCTGAGGTACCAAGGGCAACAGGACACAGTACAGAGAGGGCTGAAAGATATGCTTGGGGCCTGCAGGAAGGGAAGGGCCATAATGGCTGGGAAAATCCAGAGGGCCTCCTGGAGGAGGCTGGCTTCAGAGATAGGCAGGACTGACTGGGTGGGGAGAAGAGGAGGTGAGATGACCATGAGAGGGAAGGATGAGGGCAGGACCATGCTTTGGTAAAGAGCAAAAGATGATGTCACCACAGGGAAGCTGCACTTTCATGCAACAGATAATTGTCTCTGTATCTAGTATCTTCCTTTTCAAAGGTGGCGAGAACAAAAGCATCTTGCAGTTGAAGTATTGGCTTTTTGCTGGCTGGTGGATAAGAATTCTGTGTACACAGGCTCCCTAGGAGAAGCTGGGAGATGGTGTCCATAAAGACCTGGTTCATGGGGCGCCTGGGTGGCTCAGTGGGTTGGGGCCTCTGCCTTCGGCTTAGGTCATGATCCCAGGGTCCTGGGATCGAGCCCCACATCGGGCTCTCTGCTCAGCAGGGAGCCTGCTTCTCCCTCTCTCTCTGCCTGTCTCTCTGCCTACTCGTGATCTGTGTCTGTTGAATAAATAAATAAAAATCTTAAAAAAAAAAAGACCTGATTCATAACAGACCCTTGGGAAAATGACAGTGATTATTGTTATTAGCTTGGGGTTCAGAATCTTCAACATGATAGTTACAGGGGAAGGGAGGTGGTTCTCATGGCTTCTTTTATTATGCAGCAACTCTGTTCAGCCAGTGACAGCCCTTTCCCCCAAAGCCGTCTCTCCATGTCCATCAAATGTGAAAAGACCTAAGGTAGCCAGCAAACAGTTCTTACGTACAACCCCATTGTCAACTCTCCAAGCCCCTCACCTTGAACCTCTCCCACAAGCCTGCAGCTGGGCTGTTCCCCCACTGGGGGGCCTGCGCTGGGCAGCCCCACACCCCTCCCAAATTCCCTTCCTTGTGCTGGAATACCTGGGCCTTCCCCGAAGAGTGAACATTTATAGCATCTGCTCCATTAACGTGGTGTATAAATTATGACCATATGCAAAGAATTGTTTTAGAGGCATGCTCTGCATTCGTTCAGAAACCCTGGCCGGCCGACCTTCAGATAAGGAATGTGCGTGAGCTATTTGAGGAGAGGTTAGCTTATTTTTAAGAAGCAGCTGCAGGGGAAAAAAAATTATATATATAATACTTTGATATTTCCTGTTTTTAGGAGCCTGGTGTTCAACTTGCAACTCATTTCTTTAAAAAAGTAATTAGAAGTGATTGAAATCCTCTGTGGGTGTTTCAGATGTTTAAAAAGAAAGAGCAGGCGAGGCCCCTGGGAAGAGAGAGCAGCTCCAAGCTTACAACCTGTTGCAACTTTGCCCCATTGTGTTTTGATTAGAATCCTTGCTCCATCATCAAAGTTGATTATGGATTTGATTAGTGCATTTTTCTGCCATTGTGTTATTCCCTTTCTTCTCTCT